TCCTAAAGAAGGCCTTTTATGAAAACACGGTGCCTCCTTGGAATGGCTGCCTGGGGGTCCCAGTTCAGACCACTTGGCCAGGTTTCCCTGCTTCAGCCGCTGAGGACAGTGCTGGGAAACAGGTCTGGTGACTGACCCTCTGCTCTGAGCAGCCCCAGCACTTCTTGGCCCTTCGGCGGCTTGTCTGCCAGAGGGACTGCAGCCACCCTGACTGTTATCACAGGGGGGGGGGACTGATAGAACGAACTGCTCTTAATTTATGGATGAAACAAGAGAGAGACCCTTGTTTGTGGGTGGCTTAGGAGAGAGGACGTGGAGTTCTCACGAGCCCTGCACTGAGCAGCAGGGAAGGAAGGGGCAGAGAGACAAGGGGAGACGGACAGTCTTGAGGCAGGTGTGGAGCCAAAGAGAGTCCCCCTCGGTCGGTCCTGGTGGGCCAGGCAGGGCACCTGTCTGCTCAGGCTGCCACACTGAACGAAGGCAGCCCCGGGTCTGAGCAGAGGAGGTGGCAGAGGCATTGGTGCTGTGGGGGGCCAAACAGCATGCCATGGCAAAGGGAGACGCAAGTCCGGGCAAGAACGCAGCACCCTCAGGCGTTGGTGTTTTTGCTTGCGCACCTTTCTTCATTCAAGATATGAACTAAAAGAAAGTAAGCAAAAAATCCAAAAATCATAGCAGAGAAGAAGAAGAGATTGGATTTATACCCCGCCCTTCACTTGGAGTCTCAGAGCGGCTTACAAACTCCTTTGTGAGAGCCAGTTTGGTGTAGTGGTTAAGTGTGTGGACTCTAATCTGGGAGAACCCGGTTTGATTCCCCACTCCTCCACTTGCACCTGCTGATGTGACCTTGGTTCAGTCACAAGCTCTGACACAGCTGTCCTTGAAAAAGAGCAGTTTCTGTTAAGAGCTCTCTCAGCCCCACCCACCTCACAGGGTGTCTGTTGTGGGGAGGGGAAGGGAAAGGAGTTTGTAAGCCGCTCTGAGACTCCCAAGTGAAGGGTGGGGTATAAATCCAATCTCTTCTCTTCTTCTTCTTCTTTTTTCCCTTCCCCTCCCCACAGCAGACACCCTGTGAGGTGGGTGGGGCTGAGAGAACTCTGACACAAACTCCTCTTTTTCGAGGACAGCTGTGCCAGATACTTGTGACTGACCCAAGGTCATCCAGCCGGTTGCAAGTGGAGGAGTGGGGAATGAAACCCCGTTCTCCTAAATTAGAGTCCGCGCACTTAACCACGACACCAAACTGGCAGACAAGACAAGAGTTGGAAGGGACCTCCAGGGTCATCTAGTCCAACCCCCTGCACAAGGCAAGAAATTCACAAATACCTCCACACCCACAGGGACCGCTGTTCCACACCCAGAAGATGACAAAAAACCTACAGGATCCCTGACCTGGAGAAAAACTCCTTCCTGACCTCAAAGTGGCAATTAGCATTTCCCTGGGCATGTCAGAAAGGGCCACAAGAACTAAGCACTGAGGCAACCCTTCCTGTCCTCCCTCTCATGATCTGCCTCAGTTCACACAATCAGCATTGCTGTCAGATGGCCATCAAGCCTCTGTTGCAAAACCTCCAAAGAAGGAGAGCCCACCAACTCCCGAGGTAGCCTGTTCCACTGAGGAACGGCTCTTAACTGTCAGGAACTTCTTCCAAATGTTTAGCTGAAAACTCTTCTGATTTCATTCCAACCTGTTGGTTCTGGTCCAACCTTCTGGGGCAACAGAAAACAACTCCACACCATCCTCTATATGGCAGCCCTTCAAGTATTTGAAGATGGTTATCATATCCCCTCTCAGTCGTCTCCTCCCCAGGCTAAACATACCCAGCTCCTTCAAGTTTTCCTCATGGGACTTGGTCTCCAGACCCCTCACCATCTTCATTGCCCTCCTCTGGACACTTTCCAGCTTCTCTATATCCTTCTTAAATTGTGGTGCCCAAAACTGAACACAATACTCTGGGTGAGGTCTAAACAGAGTCGAGTAAAGTGGTACCATCACTTCGTGTGATCTGGACACTATACTTCTGTTGATACAGCCCAAAATCGCATTTGCCTTTTTAGCTAATGCATCACCCTGCTGACTCATGTTCAGTGTATGGTCTACTAAGACCCCTAGATCCTTTTCGCACATACCACTGCCAATACTAGTCTCCCCCATCCTATAATTATGCCATCGAAGAGGGACAGTGGTGGCAGCGGAACCCTAGTGGGAGGAAGTGGAATGGCACCCTCCAGGAACGGGCGCCAACCAAGGTGGGGGGCTGGCAGAAGAGGGCCTGTGAGTCAGTCAGAGCAGGCCTGTTCCTCCACAGTGTTGCTGGATGAGATGAGAATGGGCTGAGATAGCCATGTGGCAGAAAGTCTGAGGTGGGAGTTCTGGGAGTTCTTCAGGTATATGTTGTTTTATTTATACCACACTTTTCTCCCTGACGAAGACCCAAATGTTCCACAAATGTGTGGTCCAAGTGCCTTTGCCAAGTAAGGACACTTTTGGGCAAAGTCCGGGTGAGGAGGAGAGAAAACAGAATTTATTGCAATAGAAGCAGAGCAGGACAAAGCCAAAGCCCGCAAACCAAGCTGCTCTGACACCATCGGGGTGTGTGTGTGTGTCAGATCTTCTCTTGTACCCCTGCTGACACATGAGCACCCGTTGGTGCATCTACAAAGCTCAGGCAAAAGCATCACGAGAGCATATACTCCTTATCAGGGAAAGGCCCTGTTGGCATCATTCCATTGGTCAAGTACTGTTGTGCAGCATAAGCGGCCCTTGTCACAGATTTGGAAGCTGCAGCTAGTGCAGAATGCAGCAGCCAGGCTGTTGATGGGTCTCCCTGGGCGGGACTACATCCGGCCTGTGCTGAAGGCGCTGCACTGGCTGCCAATAGCGTACCGGATCCGCTTCAAAGTGCTGGTTCTTACCTTTAAAGCTCTTTATGGTCAGCGTCCGGCGTACCTAAGGGACTGCCTTTCCCCGTATATGCCCCGGAGAGCACGACAGTCGGGGTCTCAAAATCGACTGACCCTGGCCCCAAGGAAGCCAGGCTGGCTATTACCAGGGCCAGGGCCTTTTCGGCAGTGACTCCATCCTGGTGGGAGGAGCTCCCGGAGGAGATCAGGGCACTGCAGGATGTGATGCAGTTCCGCAGGGCCTGCAAGACGGAGCTCTTCCGCCAGGCGTTTAGTTAGAGAGCCGCCGCTGCTATAGAGCCCTGGCCCTTGGTCTTGACATCGAGCCGGCGCCGCAGGAAATCATGAGCAGAACAACATCTGGGAAGTTGAAATCTATTCTGAAAGTGAGCCATCTTGGATAATTAATTTCTACCAGCCCTTTGTGAATCTGTATATGTTTTTATTTAACTGTTGTTTTTTATATGATTGTATGTTTTAATTGTATTTATGCTTGAGTGGAAGCCGCCCTGAGCCTGCTTTGCAGGGAGGGTGCGGTATAAATGAAACAAGCAAATAAATAAATAAAAATTACACATGTGTGCCCAGCTAGTTGAATCCAGCTTGGGTCTCCAAGCCCCCACCCCTTTCCATGTACAGGCATTTCCATATACAGTCAGGAGCCCTGTGAGAAGACTTCTTTTGATATCCTAACAGTGCCGTCTACATGGCCTTGGAAAAGAGTGTCTTGCTTTACAGAATATAATTATGGGGGGCATAAATATGAGTGATTTGAAGTAAAGCACTCAGGTGTTTTGGATTTTCGAGTGCATTCTAAATGATGTCACAATTGATGGAAGAAGGTCCTTGGATGGAGATATCATCTACTTGACTTGTCTGCTGTGCTTCTTTAAACAGAGACGTTAAGGAATACAGTAGAAGCCTGATGTAGAAAAGATCAAAAAAGTTTGCTGCTTTGTGTTGTTGATATTCTGCCAAATGAGTGAAAGAACACTCTAGAAGACAAGTAGTTGCCCAGAGCACCGTGGGGGGAGCGGTTAACTTCACAGAATTCCTGACAGTTGTGGCTGGACTATGTAGGAGGACCCTAGAACTCTTCATAATTGGGGGGGGGGGGGGGGGATGGAAGAAGAATACTCCAAAGACTTTCACATGGAGCAGGTACCTGAAGCCCCCCAAGCTTCAACAGTGGTGCTGAGTATAGAAAAGGGGATGAGAAAGCCTGAAAATCAAGCTGACACCAAGCCCCCCCCCCCGCAAAAAAAGCCAGATAGAGCAAACACAGAACCATCTTGATGAACCAAATCAAGCAGCACAAGACTTTCAGACTAGTTTTTCAGAGGTTTCATTTTTATTCATGAAATCTGCCCTTTATTCGCACACACCTTGATTCCTTGTGAATAATAGCAAAAAGGCTATAAAATGGGCCTAAAGTTCAAACTTTACATGTTTCTTCATCCTAAAATGTGTATTAGTGTTGTACGCCAGGGAGCAGTGGCGCAGGCGGTAAAATGCCTGCCTTAACAACTATGAACAGCCACTATGGCTGTTCGAGACCCACCGCAGCCGGGGTGAGCTCTCGGCTCTAGTCCCAGCTTCCGCCTACCCAGCGGCTCGAAAGCAGTTAAAAACATATCGCGAGTAGACAAATGGGTACCTGCCCTTAGAGGGGCAGGGGGCACCCTCCTCCGTGTGAGGCGTGTGGTGGAGGCATCGGCGGCAACGGCAGAACATCGGAGGCAGAGCATTGGCGGCAGTGCGAGGTCGACGGAGCGCATCCTGGTGGCCAAAGTACAACATCGAGCGGCTGAGTCGGACGACGGAGGCGGAACCGGAAAGCGCGGCATTGTGGAAGCGCAGGCGCAGTGGAGCCAAACGTGGACATAGCTGATGCCGGAGCAGACATGGGACTGCGCCCTAAGAACGGACCGCCAGAAAAAAAGAAGCCACCACGATCCGTCTCGAACACCAGATGGAAGTGCCGACCCGAAGACCTCGCAAAGAAAAAAAAAGTGC